ATCGTATAATTGCGTTTTTCCTGTCTAAACTATATGTTTTATTTCTTTAAAAATTTTAACAATTATTGTGTTATTCGATTTCCCAGTTACATAATTGGGAATTTATGAGTGTTGATATGTTGTTTTCTCTCCCATTAATTGATAAAAACAGTTGTTTACGTGTCATCAAATAGTTGTGTCAGAATTGCATTTATCAAAAGGAGCGAAAACTCCTCGAAGTTATCCTAACAAGTTGACCGGAAGCCGTCGCATTCGCCGAAGATACTTTGTAAAATTGTATCAAACTGTAAACATCTCAGAGGGAATTTATTGCGCTTTACTCCAGATAAATTCTTGTGTACAAGTTCGATATTTATTCGTCTTCTTGTCTCCGACGTGATCTACACAATGCATGACTATGCACTTTCTATAAATTTCATAACGCTTTTTCTAAAAGATCTCCGCTTGTCTCAAATCTCTATGTCAAGTTCACAATTCCCCGCAGGCCTAACTTGAAAACTTGTGTAATAAGCCGGAGTCTGTATGCATCGTTTCGCTTACAAGACTAAAAACTAGTCCAATTTTATTAGATTAGGAACAAAGTTCTATAACTTCATAACTAAATGGATCAACCTGTTGACAATCTTTGTCAACTTTGTTTTTGACAAAAACCGTTTTATTGCCGAACTAATTTACACTAAAAACAATCCGATACTCTGCAAACGAGAATGTCTTGTTTTACGTGCTTGTTATAAACTACATGACTCGGCTTAGGCAGGAATGCAGGAGAATCAACCTAGACTAGAATCGAATCGACATAAAAGCGAAGTTAAATTGTCTTTTTTTTAAGTTGTTCTCATTTTCGAACATATTTGGGCACACTAGAGACTAGAGCAACAGTTGGGATTCTTTAGAATTTGAATGCATAGAATGCAAAGAATTCAAGAATTAAGGTTCAGTTTTTCAAACAATAGTTTTCTTAGGTAAAAAAAAAACATTGCATTTTTGTATTATGAGTGTTAATACAAAAATGTAAAAATGTGTTAATCTAATGACTCATAACGACTTTATAATGTCTGCTTAGTTACAACTATTTGACGTTATGAGTAGAGACCGGATTTTAGGTAAAATGCCTTTTTGATTCTATTTCAGGCCCGTAGACGGGACTCAAAATTTTAAACATTTCAGATGAAATAGAGTTCGTACACAATTTTTTTGCGTCCTAAAATCCTAAAACGCCAGCATTTGTCCTAAACACCACAAGCATTTGTCCTAAAACCATAATTTTAAATTTTTCAAATTTCTTAAACCCAAATAATTTGTTTAACTTTATTTCGGGATTTTGTTATCGCCTTTCTGTCACTTTATATTTTTTCCTTCTACGTTTGAAGAAAATCAAGTTTACTATTTGATTTTACAGCAGCAACCGAAGTGAAGTATACGAGATTCTTGTTGTTAGCTTCGAAAACAATACATACTTCCGTGCCCTGGACAAAAAACAAAATCGTCAAGTTTTTATAAATATCTGCTTATTTAATTAAAATTTATCTTAAATGCAAAATTACAATTTAGTTGCCAATGTGGCCATAGAAAAGTCCCAAGCTGTAGAAATAAGAATGTAATATTTTGTTATACGAGTATAGCTATACATATGTATAGCTATCGCCACTTCTGTCACTTCTCACAATGTTTTTTTTTGTATGAAATAGTGAAACCGAGAGTGAAACCTTGTGTAGCTCGTGAGTACAGTGGTAACACAGATTCTTCTTTTACACAGAAATCAAAAGTTTCTGACCAATTTCTCCTTAAAAAACGTAGTTGCGACGTTGTCAGTGTGCCAATAGCACGAAGTTTATCGTAAGTCGAGTAATGAAGTTTTGATTAGATTTGTTCGTTTCAGTTAAGCAAAAAATGTGATTTTTTGAAGTAAAGTGAATGATACATTTTTACTTTTGCAAACTCTATCTGGAGACATACTGAATTTGATTTTTTATAAAACATACATTATTATCTGAGATATTATAAATTAAAAAACATTTATTCTCTAGGATTTTATGAGCTATTTTCCTATTATAATGTCCTATTTTATATATTTAATGAAAAATAAAACCCTATTTATATTGAGTGTTAATTTTATCTGTTTGGTTATTAATAAATAAAAAATAATACGTATAAAAGTGGTATGTTAATTAGTTAATTTATATAGTTTATACCTTTGTTATTTTCTAACGAGTAAAAATGTTGAAGTTATAGATGACATTCTAAACATTCTACGTAGGTACTAATGCGAAAATCAGAAATTGGAAACATAAACAGAATTGCGCCTCATCTTATACTTTTAAATAAAAATCAAATTTTACTTTGATAGATTAAAATGTTTAAACATTTTCTTGAAATAGCTACACAACATTTGCTTTTAATCTAGTGAAAAATTAGCCAAATTGAAAATAGTTTTAATTTTAGATTTTCTTGTAAACTTTTGGATCTTTTGAAGCAGCGCAAAACATCTTCCATTCCCTAACGTCGACTTTGGTGTAAATGAAACCAAGTCTGCAACATTACCGAGCAAACTCAATCGTAACCTCTCCAGTTTACCTAAACTCATACTTGTGCCATCGTTTTACAGAAGACAGCCCGTTTCATATTGTCGTACACCCCTTGTATGTACATCACGTTACAACCTTTCCGGGTAATTTTCGCGCTTAATGGCATTATCAGTTTCATCATCCGCGAAAAAGTTATTACGTTTTAAAATTAAATCGTTGCGTTTGATTGAAACCACTCGTCACACGCATCCGGAGCCAATTTTTCAAAGAGTAATGCAATTTCTATCGTCACGTCTAATAATGTCTTTGATGCAATTATCGCCCGCGTTAAGTGCGGTTTTTGATGGAAATAAATTTTTGCATATATTGACTTTCATACATAAACGCTTTGGAGTGGTTTTATCTTCGATGAATCGATTTTGTTTGTTCAGTGCACCGGATGATAAGTTGCACAAATGATCATTTTTTAATTGGTGACCTGAAAACGCACAGTGGATGTTATGGATTTTTAGCGGAGATGCACTAGATTCATTGATCTCTCCAATCAATATTCAACAGATTTCAAGGCAACGTAAATGAGTGTAATTGTGTTTCCTTTTCTCGGTTTTTATTCAATTGTAGAAGAGTTCCGTTGGGTTAAAAAATTAATTGACAGTCTCGCATTTATCTCGAAATAGTTGCAGTAGTGCAAATAGTTCTGTGAAACGAACACAATATTATGTTTGTGTTTCCATATTTATTTTGAAAGAGTTACTAAAATATTGGTAGGTTTTACATTATATTCCAGAAAAAAAAAACACTCATAAAATGATGAAAAAACAAATTTTTATGTTTCCTGCTTCAACTTTAAAATTAAAATTAATTAAATATGGTAATTGAGCATTTTTTCTGAGAAGATATAAAAGTCGCTAAACGATGATAAATAAATTTCAAAACAATGAAATTATTTACGCACGAATGAATTGGTCATTGATGACTGACTGTCCATATATTATCCATATTTATTGTTTCGCGTTCGTTTTATTCAGATAGCATACAATTGAAATTGTATAATTTTTTATAAGCACATACATAATTAAATTTTATGTTTACTGGTAATTCTGTTATTGCGTTTGAGTAGATCAGTTAACTCGTACTCTGTTATATGATCTATAAAATATTTAAACTTTGTTTACTTCCACTTTATGTAGCCATAAAAATAGTTTAGCCGCTGTTTTGGAGCCGATTTAAATTTTTCCAAAATATAGTGTAACCGACTTTTTTTATAGGCGAAGAAAAAGTAGCCACCACACTGGTTTAATGGCCGTCACAGGTGTGAAAGACTTTTATTGGTACATTAAATTAACATGGCTGCTGTTTTCTGCCACGACCATAACAATGCCTTTTACGATGTTTTTGGTTTTATGCGTGCGTGCGTCAGGTGTGAACGCATCTTTAACTGCATCACAAATCGCTTAATTTATCATGCTGTAATAATTGCAGATAAGCGGGGAATTTTAGCGCAAAATTACGCATCTGCTAAAAGGATGAAACCATTATCTAAATTAACTAACACAGTAAACTATAAGATTATTGTAATTAACGTAATTATACGTGTACTCGTACGTAAGTACTGTGTGAGAAATTTATTAAAGGAACTCTGTGGTAGGTAAAACCGGTGATACTCATTAATGAAACTAATTCTAAGATTTTTGGGAAATTTGTTGTTGCGAAAGTTGAGTGACCAGCGTTTTAATGAATTAAAGATTAGTGTTTTAGCATTGTGTCTGGTGTTTATATTGGAGGTTTAATGTTATGTTGATTGTTTGTTGATATAACATAAACCGACTGTTTGTGGATGGAAAAACCGGCGAAATATAAACAAGAATGACCACTAATATAATTTCTCCATTATATTTTTGGCTGGCTTATCGACGAAACTTATTGGCGTGACCTCCAAATTAATGATACTGACAAAACTACTCTTTTAAGTAGAATTAGATCAAAAAACTTAAAAAAAATAAATTTAATTAAAAATTTATGTTAGGTTAATTTAAGAACTTTAAGCTAAAAATAAGAGATATTTTTAAAAATAATGCTGAGAGTCGTTCAAGTTTTATAAAGTATCTCCAAAATTTTAGCAAATCATTTGCCTCACGTAAATTTTTTCTCTCTAATTATATATCCTCACTGACCCTTCTTTTTGCCTTCGCCAATTAATATTCATGAAATCGTCTTCTTTTTCTCGGGTCTCCAGTCAATCAGCACTTTTTCCTCCGTCACAAAAATCCTTCCTCTTGCACTTTTCACCGCAGATTAACTAGAGCTCAATAAAACCAAATGATGTATTAGTCCAGCGATAAATCGTGCGCATCCGACTGGATAATCCGCACTAAGTAGGTCCGATTGTGAAGACGGGATGCCCCGCTGACGTAACAAATCTCGATAACAGTTCAGAGTCGCGGGTTTGACCAAATAACAGTTCCACCGGTTATTTAACGTTAATCCGAACCTGTTTTTTACTCAGTCAATAGCTAGCGATGGAGTGTGGTTGTGTGGCGCCCTACATCGGTCCGTCTCTGGCGAACACCTGCGGGGGTGGCGCTTTTTTCCTCTTCATGAGTCTTTTAGACACTTTTATACGGAATAAATGCGACTTGTCCGAAATCTGCCAAAGGGTCATTCCGAAAACTCAGCCTGACATAGAGTACGACTTTGTGGTGATAGGGGGTGGCAGCGGTGGCGCAACGGCGGCAGGAAGACTGTCAGAAGTACCAGAATGGAAAGTTTTGCTAATCGAAGCTGGCGGTGATGAACCACCAGGCTCCCAAGTACCATCGATGGTTATAAGCTACCATGGAGACCCACACATGGACTGGAATTACAAAACGGAACCGGAAAAACAAGCATGTCTTGGATTTCCAGAAAAGAGGTGTTCCTGGCCTAGAGGTAAAGTCTTAGGTGGCTGCAGTGTCATCAATGGGATGATGTACATGCGAGGACATCCCAAAGATTATGATAATTGGGCTACAATGGGCAATACGGGTTGGGGATACCAAGATGTGCTCCCAATTTTCAAAAAATCTGAGAATAATCTGCAGATTGGGACTCTCGTTGATGCTGCTTATCATGGTACTGGTGGGCCAATGACCACTTCAAGATTTCCGCATCATCCTGAATTGGCAGAAGATGTTATGAAGGCGGCAAGGGAATTGGGCTACCCTGTCAGTGACGATTTGAATGGGCGGCAATATCATGGGTTTACTATAGCTCAGTCGAGTGTGAGGTGAGGCCAATGTCAAGGTTACAGTTTTTTGCACTAATGACTTTTGATTCTCTTTGTTTGCACTAAATAATTTATCGTTGACTTAAGGTCAACGATCATCTACTAGTATTGTACAACAAATTTTATGGTTGCTATTAAATTGTCATGAAAATTATCTATTACGGTAATAATTGCCATAACCGTTAATTTGTTGTCGTCCATTACGATTACGATTTAGTATTTATTTTTATTATTTAATAACTGATTTTTCAAAATTTTTAAATAATTCGAATTCAAATTAAATATTTATTGTAGCAAATTGATATAATGATAACACCGGCACACAAAAAAAGTGGTTTGTACATTTGACCAGATCCATCTATCTGTATGTGATCCATCTGTTGGCAATCCTAACTCTAATTTTTAAAGCTTACCATTGGAGTGCGCTTTTGATTAACAACAATTCAATAATCTTGAGGGATTGCACGAGTACGTCAAGTATTTGTCAAGCAAAACCATATCCGGTGGCAGTGTTTCAAATTATTAACAAAAATACTTTCAAATCTGTTACCAACAGACTCAGTCTTTTTGGATCACTTCGTATTTTGATACGCTGAATCCGAAGTTCGTTTGGCCTGTACACTCTTAAAATTTTCAGCAAAGTGGCTTAAATTAAAATTTTAAAATTTTGATGTGAGCACCTCTGGTGTTTGGACGCTAAATTTTCAAAGATAGACTGAATTCACCAATCTAAGAAACCATAGATAGCATGCACTAGCACTAGTGAATCTATTTGACACATGCACCTACAAGTGCAACGTGTCCTCGGATAGGTGGAAACGACTCAGCACGCCTGAACCCCAAAAAATGAAACTTTAATTCGAGATTTTTTTATTCTTTACAATACCTGATCGGGAACGCAATTTATAATAATAATTTACTTAAAAAAAAGTTTAATGTCTTTTTATTGTTATTTTGCTTCTGTCGAATGCTGATATACGCTTCTAATGTCTAGGTGGCTTGATCTCACCTTTTTTATTGTATTATCGTATCAACAAGAAATTACTCCCTGGATTTAGGAATATTCGTGAATAGGTTGCCATAAATTTGGTTAGGTTGGTTTGTACTGACAAACAAAAGATATGGTAACTAGTGTCAAAAATTTAGGTTAAGTCACCTGTCACCTTGTATCGATAATTTAATGGATAGTTGACAGCAGGTTGACAGAAAACGTCAACCGTCAACAACAAGGGGTAACCAACCCTAGGCATTCAAAATTACTTCTGAAAATTCTAGTTACAAACAACATGAAAAACGTAATTTTCCTAACAATTCAACTCCTAGGTGGTAGTTTCTTGTTGACAAATCTGTATTTGTGGATTAATTTATTGGCCTTATACAAAACTGAAGATTAAATAAAGCTATTGCTGTTCTTAACAAAAACAATTCGCAGAATTTATGGAATTACACTGCATTCCGGATCACCTACAGGCTGCGCCAGAACTCGCGCCCCGAGTGCATCACATAGCCGTGCCATGAAATGAGTACACAAACGAGACCATTTGCACAAAATAATTACCTACATATTGCATTAATATTTTTTACGATAGGAATCAACGCCGATTCTTCAATTTGATAGAGTTCCCAGTCACTAGGTTTAATTAAATAAATTAATGATTGTTTTGAGCTTACACTTTTGGCTTCAATTTAAATATTTGATTTAAAAATGTTTAACAGAAAACTATACAGGATGTAACTCGTGGGTAAATTCATTTAAGTTAAAACTGATTATTTTTTAAAAAAATTCTTGAACGTCGATTTTGTTTTCTAGAATTATGCTGAAATCGGCTAATCTAGCTGATTTAATGTTTAACTGATCAATGAGCATATAACAATGTTACTCTAGATCTTTTGTCTCGTCTCAACATATTTTTCTGTCAATGTAAAGTGAAATTGGTTCGATGTTCAGTGAGCAATAGAAACGCTCTTTTCGCATATCACGTGCTAATTATGCATTTGTACAGTTGGTTGCACTATAAACGGAAAACCGAATTTTCTTTAGAATGAAACAGGTTTTGCTCTTTTCAATTTAGTTGTTAATTTGTCATGTGTCGCATTCAAATATTTTTTTTGCAATGCCAAACATAAATGCTGAGAGCATCAAATGCAAATCAAGATATGAGTACTTAGGTGAAAGCCCAATAAATAATAAACATAAAAATCTTATTTGTGTGGTATTTTTTTATATAAAAAAGCATATGAAATTCAAGTTTTGTCGTCATATGTCAGAAACAGTGACGTCAACACGATTTTTGAATGACATATATTTATGTTTGTAAACATACAGGTGCGCCAGAACTCGCGCCCCAGAGAAAATTTTCAAGTAAGGTAAGATTCCAGGAACATGGAAAAAAATGTTAACAAAATTTTATCTATAAAAATTTCGAAGTTATGAAAGTTTAAATTTTGCACTTTGACTTTATTTATTTCTTTAAAAAAAATAATTTTCCAAGTTTTATTTCCAAGGCTATTATTAGAAGAGGAAACAAGGAAGCTGTATCGTAAATTGTAACTCTGTTTAATGAGTTTAATGATATTTGTGGCTTTTATTGGCAAAATTTTTGTACCTTTACTAAATAATTATAAAAAACATATGCAAGATCATCAGACATAAAAAATGTCAAATGTGAAAAAATAAATGTCAAAATTTTTTGACAGAGAATTTTTTAAACATTTTTTCCATGTTCCTGGTATCCTATCTTACTTGAAATTTTTCTCTGGGGGGCGAGTTCTGGCACACGGTATATTATGGAATCCGCTGAAAATAGTTCCGATGTATGCGATGTAATCAAAATTCAAAACATATTTTTCTTTCGGATAATTTGACAATACGGATAATCGGACCTTTGCCCTGCGCCGCTCCTTTGTAACTTATCCACTTGTACGTAATAAACTTTTTATAATTCTCGTTACGTAATAGACTAACTAGTTTTCTATATTTTATGTTTATTACAAAGATTGCGTATTATAATAATAAGAATATTGGGTGGGAATTTGTAAACAGATAATATGTAATTTTTTATTATACCTGCATCATAATCCTAAATTAAAACACGCTGCAGCGTGCGTAATTTGGCCTTTATAGCACGCTGAATTTTAAAGTTGTCTAGGTAACAAGAAATAGTGAAATGTATGGACCAATTACAACGTGAAAAAATTTGCTTAACAATGTAAACTAGTAACCGTCTCTACGAAAACGAATCGCAAACAACCTTTGATAATTTTATTGTGTAAATTCACATTTTTTCAATGCTCATAAAAGATTGTAAATGGGCAGGTATAATAAAAAATAGCGTATAACACTCGTTTATAAGCGCCTTTAAAACATTTACGACGTTGAAAGCACTCCGCTGACGCGTCATGCTCTTAAACCCATCGTGCGTGTTTTAAAGGCTTGCTTATACGAGTAAACTAGTATGTATTATAATATACTATGACAACAACGCTTTACTAGATAATAAATGCACAATTAATGACGCTTGCAATGATTCATTTATTACATGTTATTTACTTGTTATTGCTTCTTCTTGTTTATGTGACATGTAATTTGATATTGTTATCACGCAAAAAAATAAGAAAAGAAAATCTAATATAAATTCTTCAAGTTTTTAGGCTTTAGGCAATCTACTTTTATTTTAATTTAAATCACTTGCTTTTTATACTGGATGATTTTAAGGTAAGTATGCACAAGTATTTTAAAATACATAGAAATATAGAGTCCAGATATTAGCAAGGTTTTAGTTTCAGGTTGCTACGTAACAACGATTAAAAGATAAGTTTACAATATGACAATCTACCCAAAAATGGGCTCACTACTTGTACGCTTTTTTTTGAGTAGTGAAAGTGTACACAGTATCAATATCATGCCTAGGCATTTCGTAAAAAATGCATTGGAGCATTGATTAAAAAAATAAATCCATGACTAGTTCAGAATTAATTCTGAAAATGCTCCGCGAACAAAGCTATTATTAGCTCCTAACGTTTGGCAATATCTTTTTGAAACATTCTGTACAATTATCATGTATGTCTTACAATTTTTGGTTGTATGCTAAAATCGTTAATTTGGGTCATGAATGCATGCTTTCATGTACATACCTTAATAGAGCTGATTAATAAATAATTACGTACGCCAAAGGCCCGATTATCCGTATTGTCAAATTAGAAAGAAAAATATATTTTGATTACATCGCATACATCGGAACTATTTTCAGCAGATTCCATATAATCCGGAATGCAGCGTAATTCGATAAATTCTGCGAATTGTTTTTGTTAAGCACAGCAATAGCTTTGTTTAATCTTCAGTTTTGTACATACATGGTCAAATTCATCCACAAATACAATACATAAGGTGAGATTAAGCCACCTGGACATTAGAAACGTACATCGGCATTCGGCAGAAGCAAAATGTCAATAAAATATTTTTAGGTAAATCATTATTAGGTATAAATTGTGTCCTCGATAGGTGAAACGACTTGTGTAAAACATAAAAAAATTTCGATTTAAATTTTTATTTTTTGGGATTCAGCTCTGCTTGGTTAAAGATTAATTTATTTCTAAAGTAATTTTAAGTTTGAAAAATCAAGTATGCCTTGAAATTTTCAAAAAACTTATTTTTCTATAAGTCAAGTGCCTTTTGTGTGGCAAATACGACAAAAAGTTATTAAGAAAAGTTGTTTAGAATCAGCATTTCAATGTTTTTTAAGAAGGAAGTGTTCATGGAGATAACGATTAATACTTAAATTGGATTGGACGCGTAATCAGTCTAGTTCATACGATTGAAATAATTTTGTTAATAAAATTTTTGAGCTGTCATTTTGACGAGAATTTTGAATTTTTTGTAGGTATCTATAAGCAAAGTTGAACCCTAAATAATGAAATAGCTTAATAAAAAATAGTTTCGTAATTTTTAAATTCATCTTTTGGTATATGGACTCACGCAACGTACGTTCTCAGGTTGCTTGAGTCATCCTTAGATCTGAAAGCATATGTCTGTAAAATGTTAAGTAAAATGACAAGTCAAAAAGTAAAATGACATGATCAAAAAGGTGATGATGATAATAACTAAATTTATAATTTACCTTCAAAAAAGAACGTTCCTAGTCGTATTATTATAAGTCGGCGACTAATTACAGTCCATTTTGCCGTTTTACCTTACGATTTGTCATCTTATTTGACGTTTCCCGTAAAGTTAAACATACGTTCTCGGATGCAAAAGATGACTCGATTACAAATTATCTTGATCGCTCGGTATTTCTGATCACTGTATAACCGTAACAGCTAACTGCAATTTGATATTTTATTTTGATTGCCGTAAAATAAAGAGTCAATAGTATTCGTTTTTATAAATGAGAAGTGTTTAGAAATAAACTCAATAATTTACTGGGTGAAATCGAAATAAGTGAACAAAGAAGGAGTAACTTCTTGATATAAAAAGACTGCAATTCTGCATTTGAATTTTATTAATGAATTAAAATTATTTAAATTTAGTTAAAGTTCTACCGCACGCCATTTTCATAAAATCGAGGAAATACGTTTTGGAGGAAATACGAGCTGATTCTTGACAAAGAAATTTTGCAAAAAAGACGATTTATCATTAAAACTCTCTTTATCGTCGCTTATTGATTAGGTCAGTATTTTCTTTGCGGGGTCGTCCTGTTGTCCATTATGAGCGTAGATACAAATAAAAAAAAAGGATGCACCATTGGCATGCAGTGTTCGAATTAATCATCCGTTATTTACGTCTCTGTCTGTACTTGGTACTGTGCTTTGTTTAGTAGAAATGTCGTTGTCACGCGCCGCAACTGGGACCCCTGAAGGGGATTTTGACCCATTCTTGCAGCCGATTATAAAGCTAATAATCAACACACACATACGATGTCACGGTGCTTACGTTAAGATACTATATGCACTTATTTCGATTTCACCCTGCATATAAGGCATAAAGGTTTATTGTCTTTTATTGACTATTACAGAAGTTCAAGAAGTCAATTTAGATAAATATTAAGAAATTTATTGTTTGATTATGCCTTTTCTTACCACCAATTGTTAAAGATAAAAACAAATAAACTTTATTCATAGCCTTTGACTATCAAACAGTGTTATTATTATTAACAATATTATTTTTCGTCAAGTTCACAGCAAACTATGCAATTATTTAGTAATAAAATGGTAGTATGTACGAGTATTATACAGGCTGTTCGCGGATTGGGAGCAAATATTTTAACCACTAAAAGAATTCGCTATGAAAAGTCAATTTGAAGATCTAACAAATTCCGTATCCAATTTTTTTTTGCATTTTCCCCGCCACGATTTTCACGAGCCGGTCAGTGTGTCTGTCTCTGTAAGGTGAATGAAAATAATTTGCAACTTATATGCAGAAAAAAAGGATCTTTTTGCCTAAAAAAATTATCAGTTGTTTACACGCGTCAGTTTAGTCAGTTGAAATCGCGCTTTCGGATGAATTGAGCACATCGATTTGAAATCAAATTGTAAATCAAGTCATTATGGGCAACTACCAACTACTCAAACGCCTTATTGATTAGTGTACGGGCATCACTTCCAAGACCGATTTTCACTAAATGTTTGGGCAGAGAACATTGAAGATCTCTTTAGTTAGACCCTACATTCTACCTCAACGTTTAACTAGTGCCGTTTATCTTGATTTTGTGGAAAATGTGTTGGCCGATCTGGTGGAGGACGAGCCCTTGGCGACACAGAGGGACAATTAGTATTTACAAAATAGAGCTCTATCACATTGTGCCAGAATCGTCAAAAATTAGTTGAACAACGATTTTCCCGAAAGATGGATTGCTCACTGCATGGCCACCGCGGCCAGTAGATTTAAATCCGTGTGATTTTTTTGTGGGGTCACATGAAACAATTAGTGTGCGCAGCTCAAATTAATACCCTCAAAGGGCTGTGTATGCGAACGCAATCTTCCCTAGCTCGAAGGGTACAAGTGTGCATTGCCAACAAAGGACCACATTTTGAGCAATTTTTTATAATAGCACTAACACTGCCACTGATCTACCTTAATGTGGCGATATTTTTTTTGTCTTTGCGCCGTTTTTATGAATGAATGTAAATCTGGTATTAAAATATAGGCGGAAACGGGTTTTCAACCTCAACGTACTTTTAATTTTAACTCAAAAATTACGTGCTTTCCGCAAAAGTTGGAAATAAATGTTGTTTTTCTTGACGAGTCCTATTAGTGGTTAAAAAAATATTTGCTCGTGATCCGCGAACACCCTGTATTTGGACTTGGATGTGTATTTTTATAAATTCATGATTCTTTATCAAATGTTGTTTTTGTTTGTTCTATCATGACGAATTTTTTGTAGAAATGGATCTCGTTTAAGCAGCGCCCGAGCATTCCTCCGTCCAGGCCGCGACCGCCCCAACCTCCACGTCATGCTGAACTCCACCGCGACGAAAATTCTAATAAACACCAGCAACAACCAGAAGACAGTTTCAGGCGTCCAATTCCTCTACAACAATAAATTACACACAGTCAGGGTAAAGCGGGAAGTCGTCGTTTCCGCAGGAGCCATCAACTCGCCGCAAATTCTCTTGTTATCCGGCATCGGCCCCAAAGAAGAATTAGACAGAGTTAACATTCAACAAGTTCATCAACTTCCGGGCGTCGGCAGAAACCTCCACAATCACGTCACGTTCTACATGACGTATGAAATGAAAAAGCAGAAGGCTATCCATGACCTGGATTGGGCGAACGCTCTGGATTACATTCTCAATCGACGAGGCCCGATGTCTTCTACGGGCATGTCACAAGTCACGGCGAGGATCAACTCAAAGTTCGCTGATCCTTCTGGAACTCATCCCGATTTGCAGATTTTCTTTGGCGGATATTTGGCGAACTGCGCCGCTTCCGGGGAAGTGCGGGCGGTTAAGGATCCAAAAAATCCAGACGCTCCGAAACACCTGACGATTTCGCCCGTGGTGCTGCATCCAAAGAGTAGAGGATATATAGGATTGAAGACAAACAATCCATTAGATGCTCCGCTCATGTATGCCAACTATTTGAGTGAACCGGAAGACGTCGCGACACTAGTCGAGGGAGTAAAAGTGACACAAAGATTGGCCAATACGAGCGTTCTTCAGAACAAGTATGGCCTGACTTTGATGCGCGAGGAATACGGGGACTGCGAGAAAAAATTCACGTAAGGAATGTTCTTCGTAAAAATGAACTGTTATTTTCTACTAAAAAATTTCAGATATGACTCAGATGATTTTTGGCAATGCGCAGCTCGCTACTACACCGGGCCAGAAAACCACCAAGCTGGCTCATGTAAGATGGGTCCAGCCTCCGACCCTATGGCTGTGGTCGACCCCAAACTCCAAGTATACGGTATTGAAGGTCTCCGGGTCATGGATGCTTCAATAATGCCCACACTAGTCTCTGGAAACACACACGCCACTATTGTTATGATAGCCGATAAAGGCGTCGAGTATATAAAACAAAAATGGTTGCGTAGTGGGACTATTGCTAACAGATTTGGAGGAACGAATCAAAATAGTCAAAATGCACCTCAGTTTTACCCATCTGCTAGCTCAAACTATCCCAATTATCCCAAACAGTACTATCCGCACCAGTACCAACAGGGAGTTAAAAATACGGGAATTAGACATAATGAACAATTCCATAGAACTCATCCTCAGATGCCCAATCCTTTCATGTCGACACCTAGGCCACAAAGGCCGTTTAACCAGCAAGGGTATCAAGGATACCTACATAATTATCCTGACTACCAACATGACCAAGAAGTTAACAATTACAATTCATATTAAAAGTTTTAGTTAGGAAACACCTATTTTTGGTGTTCAAAAGTTTTAGGTTCTTAATATATTTTTTATTTATTTGTGCAAGCCACAAAACTATGCGAAAGAACGGGGAAGTGGATAAAGCATTTTTTTATTTTTATTTTGTCAATTCAGAAATAAATATCTTACCAACAATAAAATTTCTTATTATATGTTTTATGCTCCCTTCGTACCAAAATGAGTGTACGATTTTAGTTTTTAATAGATTATTGAATTAATGAAATTAAATGTATCTACAGTTATTTATTTAAATTAAGCATGGAAAAAGTGATTCTAATAACCGCTGGAAGTTTGATATTTGACAAAAAATAGTTTTTAATGTGAACAAGTAAAATTTTGCAATAATTGTTTATTAGTAATAGTATTATTAGTAGGTATTATTACGGTCGTCATAGCAAAAACTACCTACAAAAAAAAAAACAAATATAGCGGCCAGCGCCAAAGAGTTACGAAATTGTTACGAAATGTATGTAGGTAGTTTAGTTGTGAAGATATACGTTCCACGAGGTGTTAAAAGAAGATTGTAAATTATTTAAGGAAGTATATAATATGGACCAAAATAAACAAAAAAGTCTTAATAAACATGAGTCCGAAAAGTAACGGTTTCGGAGATATCGAATGTGAAAAGTTTTAGAATTATTACTACAAGCTTCTTTTTTAGTTTGAACAGATTGCAAATAAATGTTTCAAAAAACGAATAATCTTTGATATCTCCGAAACCGTTACGTTGCGAACCCATGTTTCTTAAGACTTTCTTGTTTGTTTTGGTCCATACTATTATCTCCTGAAATATTTTACAATCTTTTTTTAACACCTTGTATAAATCTTTGCATATTTTTTAATAAATTTGAACACTTATTTTGAAACGCAATAGCGAGTTTACACAAGTACAACTAGAAGTCAATTGGGTCGTTGCACATATTTTTTTATTGCATATTCTGAATCTTTATTAAAAAATAATTGACCCAAAAATTCATAAAATGAAATAAAGATTTGTCAACAAGAAATTACCACCTAGGATTTGAATTTTTAGGAAAATTACGTTTTTCATGTTATTTGCAACTAAAATTTTTAAAAGTAATTTTGAATGCCTAGATTTGGTCACCCCTTGTTGTTGACGGTTTCTGTCAACCTGCTGTCAACTATTAATTATGTTATCTATACAAGCTGACAGGTGACTTAACCTAAATTTTTGACACTACACTACAAAATCTTTTGTTTATCAACACAAACTAACCTAACCAAATTATCCCTAAATACTAGGGAGTAATTTCTTGTTGATACGATAATAAATTCAAAACGCGCGCGTTTTATGCTTGCTGTGAGGCAATAATCCAGCTTTGCGCTCATTGGCTGCTTGAATGTCGGTAATGCAGATCTGTTGTAAGGTTATTATTGGGCAAGGATGATAGACGTAAAGGATTGCTCAGGCTCACGAATCTGTCAGCCGGCGTCACGTGGTCCATAGACATGCTGTGACGTCACATCTGGTCTTTAATCGCGTAAAATACATGGGAGTTAATAGGAGCAAATACCAAATAATGCAAATAAAAGTGAATTATGACTTTAATTTGTTAAAATCGCTTTTGAATTTATAATGAAATTATTGTAGTTATAATTTGAGATAATACAAAATAGAATTTTCTGTTTATTTGTGTCCAAAAATTGAGTAAATCTGTTTTCTAATCGGGGTAATCAGACGCAATAATACCAATAATTCATTGTTCTCCATTTTAATGATATATAAGACATTAAGAATAGAAACAAATTTTTTACTTTTTATATTGATGGGTATTTTTTACGTTGTAAAATGCTCAAACAAAAATGATTTAATAAATAAATTTCCATTGAGATTTTTTGATCACAAAGTCGTGAAAATATCAATAATATTCCTAGGTATACATACAAAGTAGAAACGGTTTTTATTTTTGACAATTTTATATGCAATAAATTTTGTTGATAAATAATAATACAAAATCTAATAATGGATAATAGATAAAAAAATGTGAAACAAAATAAACCATTTTTATAGTAACTTTAAGACTTTAAAGAAGAAAGAAATGAGCAAAACGACTTTCAACACAATATAAATTTTATTTCTTCAAATAAAAACATTTGGTAGCTGCACTAAACTTGAATTTTGAAACCAGCGTAGGTACAATCAAAATTCAGTTAAATGATATCCCAAAAATTAAATAGACTAAATTAATAATATTTGCTTTCTTTATTTGTCCACGTGACTTAGAGATTATAAAAATAATACAATAGTAAAAAAATAATTTTGTAATTCTAAAATTATTGAAAAATAAAGAGATCACATAAATTAAAAATCAATTAACAATTTTATAACACCCCACGTTTATAATTTTAATACAAACAATGCAGAATTTCTTGGGGTTACAAGATCAAAAATATGCTTGGGAAATTATATTGAAACACATTGTATCTGGTATAATGTTATAAAATATGTATCTACTTAAAATACATTCATTTCTGTTTTAGATCAGAATAGGCTATGGAAATTTGGCGATTGTAGCTGAATGACAATAAAATAGATTACTCTAGTCTAAATCAAAAATGAATGCATTATAACCATTTGTTTCTTAGGTCACGTTGATAATCATTGTTTGTGAAATGGAGCAAATTGAGCTATGAATCGAGTTGAACTTATCAGCTCGTCTGCACCTATTTGACCCATTCCTTTCTCATCGTTGATGAGACCATATTGTTGCCGATAGAATAAGAATAAAAAATGAGATTGTCACCCATTTGTTTTGGTTTTATTTGGCTGCTGTTACAACCATATACAGCATACCATCTATCAGGCATATAGTGACGATATATGCACTACCTATTTAAAATTATTGGAATTACTTTAAATATACTAAAATTTGCATTATTTCATACTACAATTTTCTTTTGTACGATCTTAATATGCTCTAATATCATTAAAACACCAAAAAACACGAAGCACAGCTGATGTAAACAAACAATGTAGGCCAGTTGTGACGTCACGCAATGTAGTGGGGATGATGAAATACGGCTAACATTGCAGCATAGGGCCTGAGCAATCCTCTATGTCTATACCATCCTTGATTATTGGGTGCGTTTTATTGCGACTGTTCTGCACCAGTGAAAACGAGTGGAACTGCCTACAGAATAAAACGACTATTTTGATCAGGTGTCAGAATGACAGAATGACGACTTAACCACACATTTTTCACTCTTACATTTTTTCAACGAAATGGGACGGAGTAGAAATTTAGAGTGAGTGTTGCAGATTTTACCAATAAAACGACCGGAGTGATCACTCCAGAGTCAGAACTATACGAATAAAACGCACCCTAAACAAACACCAAAATGGGATGAGAGTCTCAGTTCTTCCTTGACTTGTGCCATGCTTCACACGCTCAACCAATGAGAATTCTTCGCCTGAAGAAGATACAATTAAAGTATCGAAACGTCGCGACGAATTTAATGTTTTATTTGCCTGTGTCCTATAAACCATTTTCCACGCAATCAGTCTATTAGTTTTTAATGTTTTATGTTTTTTATGGTACGGTCGATGGATGCATGAAACTGGTACACCTAAAATTTAATTGAAGTATAGCTCTCAGACTACCTATCAAGTGTCAGTAATTATTAACTGACACAGAATCAGTAGTGTTTTCTATTTCGTCGACTGCAAATGATCATCATCAGTTACGGTGCCATGACGAAATATTAGTCCTTAACTTATTCGCTTTGATGTTTCTAATAGTAAAACTTATGTCATATTAAAGTTAACCTATTTATGAGAGTCGTAATTAAACGATGCAAATTGGTGAATTTTGGGTTTACATGATTGTCATTTTTGTACCAGTTTTATGTGTCATTCAAAAGTGTATTTTACCGTTAAGTAAGTCATTTATAATTTCATTTTTAAGGGGGAAAACTGCTAACATGTATTGAGAGATCAAGATAATTTGTAATCGAGTCATCTTTGCATCCGAGAACGTATGTCCAACTGCACGAGAAACGTCAAATAAAATGACAACTTCAAATGTAAAGCGGCAAAATGGCCTAGAATCAGTCGCCGACATATAATAACAGGACCGTTTTTTTGGAGGTAAATCATAAATTTAATTATTAAATCATCATCTTTTTGATCATGTCATTTTACGTTTCGACTTGTCATATTATTTGACGTTTCAGAAATACGTTTTCGGATCCAAAGATGACGCGATTACAAATTATGTTGATCTCTGGATATATCTAGATACCCTCTATATTATTATAACAATCATAATTCAAGCCATGTGAAAATCTAATGCCAGAAACAATTTTTAATTTTAATGACTTTAATACACTGATGGACAGTGAATTTCGTCCATCCAATTTCCCTGACAGATTAAAAGTGTAAATTAGTCTTTAGGTTTTCCTCACCTTGTTTCAGAATTTTGATTAACTTTTGTCATGTTGACAGAATGCTCGATGCTTCTTGCTACTTTTTATCTTTGTGCTTTGAAATGGTAGTCCTTGGTATGCCAAAAAGTATAGAGACACGTCTTTGAGACATAACTTCTTGTACAGTGATGGACAGTGAATTTTGTCCACCCAATTTCCCTGGCAGATTAAAAGTGTAATTTAGTCTTTAGGTTTTTCTAACCTTGTTTCAGAATTTTGATTAACGTTTGTCATGTTGACAGAATGCTCGATGCTTCTTGCTATTTTTTACCTTTGTCCTTTGAAATGGTAGTCCTCGGTATGTTCAAAAGTATAAAGACACTTCTTTGAGACATACATTCTTGTACCAGAGAGATAATTTTTATTTTATTAAACGCACTTACCTACTGCTCGTATGTTCGAATTTGATTAAATTTGACAATACGTATTTGAATGTCAGTTATCATGACAATAAAGCACAGACTACAGTGAATTTTTGTGAATTCACAGAAATTGGGTGGACGAAATTCACTGTCCATCACTGTACCAGAGAAATAATTTTTATTTTATTAAACGCACTTAACTGCTGGCATGTTCGAATTTGATTAAATTTGAAAATGCGTATTTGAATGTCAGTTATCATGACAATAAAGCACAGACTACAGTGAATTTTTGTAAATTCACCGAAATTGGGTGGACGAAATTCACTGTCCATCACTGTAACAAAATTGTCAAAAACAAACGGAGGCCATTTCGTGTTCTTGATTTACATTTCCTCCACCAGCAAATAATAACAAAATGGACTATACAGGCTGCGTCAGAACTCGCGCCCCAGAATTTTTTTTTAAGTAAGGTAGATACCAGGAACGTAAAAAAATGTTTAAAAAATTCTATCTGTCAAAAAAATTTGACATTTGACATTTTTTAAAAATCTATTTAATGGTACTGATGATCTTGTATATGTTTTTTTTTACAATTATTTAGTAAGGAGACAAAAATTTTGCCAATAAAAGCCACAAATAACATTGAACAGCTTCCGTGTTTCCTCTTTTAATAGCCTACAGCAAAAAAACTTGGAAAATTATTTTTCCAACAGAAATAAATCGAGTCAAAGTGCAAACTTTAAACCCCCATAACTTCTAAATTTTTATAAATAATTAACATGTTTTCAATGTTCCTAGTATCTTATCTTATATCGCATTTTTCTCTGGGCTGCGAGTTCTGGCGCACCTGTATATAACTTATTCTCTTTGTCTTACATCATCCTCATTTAAATAAAGCAAATTTTGATTTCATTACTCTTAAATTGTAGAGACGCTACTTACACTATCATTGAATGACAGCAATAAATTAATCAATAAAAATAAAAATCTAATCTTCCAAAGGGTTTAATCTATATTTTAGAAATACAATTACAATAGATGTTTAAGAAACAGCAGAAATCACGGTTATTATCTTCTGGCAGCGCTGGCTAAATCTTTGGCAGTGTCTAAAGTAGCCGCAGCAAAAACAAGTCCTCTTCTAGCAGCTTGATATTTTCTGATATTTGAGATAAACTTTTTAAGTTCTCTAGTCTCTAAGTCTTCTACCACCTCTTGGACTTTTTCAACTGTTGGTGGCGGTGGAGACGGTGTGGCAGGTTCGTAATAGTACTCTTCGCCAGAGGCTTCACCAGATGATTCTGCTGCAGCTGGGCATTCAGGCGATCCGCAATAAGCACCCCCTTCTTCAGAACTTCCAGAATCTCCAAAACTAAGTGCTCTTCTTCCAGCTACAGCACCTTCGTACTCCTCGTCGCTGGCCGCCCTTTCGTAACTCGCTTCATTTTCATAAGAGTATTCATCTGAGGAGTCGTAGTGGCCATATTTTGGTCGTTGTCGAACAGGAGGGCTGACTGAGCCAAGACTAGAGTGCCAATGTCTTAGCGAATTTGGAGTTACCGCTGGAGAGGTTGCACGCGAGGACATGCCTTTTGTAGGCCGGAAATCACAGTACATGGTCCTCTGTATTGGGTCATCAAGCTCTTTCATAGTAGAATGCAACATCGGATTAGGATCAAAATCCGTGCCTTTCCTTATCAATCCCGGATATGTTACCACTCCTGATGACAGTTCTTGATAGGCCCATCCCGGGGCGTGCGGTTGCTGGCCTGGTTTCATGGGGATATTTTTTTTTCCACCCCAAGTGATACCAGCTCTTTCATCACCCATATACCAGGGCCTTCTAGGAATTCTTTGGGGATAAGTACCAGGTGGAGTTTGTGAGAACCTTCTCTGACGCTGAGGGGGGCATGGTGATGGTGTGGCGTAGGACGATTCCTCTTCGTATGGTCGACCGCCCCATGTGACACCTTCGTCGTGTAATGCACCATAACCGCGACGTGGGTCTTTTTTAGGCCAAGTACGGCCAGGTCTTCCAACTAGCCTGTTTTTGGGGGTTGGAGGCAGAGGAACTGACATGTCGGCAGATTTTGGCCGAGCTACCACTGTACTAACACCTTTAAACTGTTCGGGAATCTCCACCACCACCGTTTCACCGGGGTTGATTAGACCCTTTGGAATTACCACTTTTTGAGTCCCCATGTTTATTTAGTTTCACTTAAAATTTTGATAAATGTTCGAAATTTTTGACGAAAATTTTTACATGTCAACAAAACAAACAATAGACAATTTCAGGAAATGGAAACTAAATTACTTGATCCAAATTTTAATAATAATAAGTGTTTTGAAATGAAAAAATAAATAATACATATTTTAGTTTTTAATTTGATTTTTAAAGTAATCTCAGAAGTAAATTGGTATTTTTAATAGTGCTATAATATAATATTAAATTTAAATATACCTTACATTTAATGAAAATATTTTAATAAAAAAAGTATTTATGTTTTTTTTTATATATTTGAAAATGTTAAATAAAATTTAATAAAACTATAACAATCTAAAACTATATTATGGCTTGTTTTACCACAAGCCGGAAGAAAAACCTCCTGGAGGTACACGAACTCGTCTTTGGTTTTCAGATTTCACTGTGGCTACTTTTTCAGTTTTTGTTTCAGTGTTAACCTTTTCTTTGACAACTTCATCGCTTTCCCTGCTTTTATGTCCTGGTGTTTTTGATATTTCTGCTGCGTTTGATAATCCCAAAATGTCATGATACTCTCCTCCTGGTGGTCTCAGAACCCTGCTGGAACTTCGATTGTTCCCCATCCCACTAAAAACATTTGTCGAAGTCATTTTTTGTACAAATATACTCGAATAAATCAAATTAAATTTAGTTACTGATAAAAAATTTGACTACTTGTCAAAGTGTTTTTTTCATTTTGTTATAGAAACAATTATTAGGGCTCTCAACTGGCCCTCAAAACTGACACCAATTACAAGATCGAACACCTGTATAACGCCTCTGTAGGCACTTTCCGCAACTTGTTCATTACTGAAACTTGACGTCGCAGGTAGACCTATCTTTTGATCGCAATTCGCAAAGGGTTTAATCGATAGAGACATTTTGACTACTAACTAAACAACTAATTTTTAACCATCTCAAAACGTTCAGACGTGTCGTTATCAAGAAAACGAGGATTTTGTTACTTTACTGTTTGTACTGACAAGAAATTGATGTAATTACAATCGATAGTAAATGTTTTTTCATATTTTGTTCTTCGTGATTTGTAGTAATTCGAGAGAACAATACACACGACATTGTGTCAGTTTTGTGAGTTACTAACTAAGTATTACGGAAGGACTACGAACTTAACTAACATCGTTGTATTTATTGCTATGAATCCAGTTATGCTTTGAGTATTTATTGTGTCAAAGTTTTGATATGCTTTATTAAATTACTCAACCGTCTTTTGTACTAATCAGAATCAGTCTACATCCAGATGGGTCACTGTTGTATTATCCGTCTTGTACAATTCGCTTCTGCAACAGACATCATTTAATATTGCATTCCAGTTTCACCACTGTTCAACATGTAAAAGAAATATCGATTTTCTTTTCAGTAATTAAGTTTCACCAGAACAAAATTTTTATTAAGGTATTTAATAAACAATGCTGGAAGGTATTTTTTGACTTCATTACATTTATGAAACATTCCGGAGTGAAAGAAGGTAATCAGTTTAAGACATTTTAATAAATAATCTAAATTTTTTAGAGTGCCTTTACAGACAGTTTTTGATAAATTTTTTGAAACTGACTGGATTAAAACGGAAACTTTTTATTTTGCAACCTACTCACTTACCCTAATAAAGCCTTATATTTCTCACACATTCGAGTTGAGTTTCCTTACCTGAAACTAAAAAATGTATTTATTATTAAGCCATGCTTTAATATAAAATTTTATATAAAATTAATTATAACATGAAGGCATCCATTACCTGACGTAAATTTTAGATGAATAGGATGATATAATATCCGATCATATTAAGAGCAGCAGGAAGCTGCAGCTTGGCCAGTGAGGTGCAAGAATTAATGACTTGGTGCAGATACTTCGTTACAGATATAGCACACGATAGCCCAACATTTTTGAGATAATAACAAGAAATTTGAAACTAAAAAAAAATTAGAATTTTGTCGATATTGAAGTTATAAATAGAAATTTATTAATTATGTATAATAATTATTTATTTAAATATTTGTGTGTGTAAATTATTAATAGACAATCTCTGAGCTTGTAAAACATTTATAAAATATACAGTCAGTACATAAACAGATAACGAACAAAATGTCTGTTTGAAAATGAAACCGTGATGAATTTTTAATTTATCTTCAGGTTCCTTGTGTGGACTTATAAATAATTTAGTACCGACTTTGCTAACAATTGCGATCAACTTTGGTTAGAAATATTTAATAAATTAAATTAGGATTTAGGCGATGCTGCTTTGATAGTAGCTATTTAAATAATAATGGTTCTAATCGTTAAGTAGAACCGTTAATATTTAAACGCCTTCCTTCGGATCATTTACACCACTTACTATTAGCAATTTAAGCCGCATTTAAATTTAACTAACATTTCTGCACAGTAAGTGAAATTGACTTAAAGCTAGTCAATTAAGTAATTTCTATGTGAAAATATTTGATCGAGATTAACTTGAAATAAACACAAATATATTTCTATACTATGTTAAGAAATAAATCATCCCTTTTAACATCGCTGCAGCATATCTTAACCGATCTCATTTCAGTGCTATTGACAAGTTTACAACCTCCATAATCGAGTGTCAAAAAAACCCGAACGCTTTTTCGACATAATACTGTCTTGAAAGCCGACAATGCGTACACACCTGCTATTTTGAGGTTTCTGTTGATGGCATTGCCGAATACAACGGGTCATTTTCATATGTCATTTCCGCAAAATCATAAATCAAGCTCGATTTTCCCGATTTGTTTTTTTTATTGCGGCAATCAAAACTTTATGAAAATCGCTCTGTATATAAAAGCACTCCAAGTGTGATTCCGACTTGGAGCGCTCGGCACATAAATCATTTACTGGGGGACGTATTATTAAAAGTAGTACGTGACTCAATACACATATTGCATTAATGATGGCAGTTGTGGGATCCATAAATTTACGGCGGATTTTCGCGACGAAAAATATGCTCGCTTCGAAAATTTTGTCGCATTTGCCTTAATTAAATGTTGGCTACCTTCTTTAATTAGCCTAAGTGAGGGTGTACTTCATCAAAGTGAGATATATGGTCGGGAGTTGAACGGATGAAATGCCCTAGAGATTGGCCCATTTACATAAACAGGATACGCTGTATTACTGGAAAATCCTTTTAAATCCGACCGGTCTAACATTTGTTGCGCGGTTACAGACACACTTGACAGCGATGCTTGTTTGAACTTGCCATCAGCGTCGCGGTGCCAGCCCAAAACGAAGACAAATACTGCTTGATTGTAATTTAGTTAAATCAAATTGGGCACTGAAAATAACAAAGCGAATGTTGTCATTTATAATAGAAGCTCACATTCATAGAGTAGCGTTTTTTTCTATTTTATAAAGTATCAATTCAGTTTCAGCATATTTGCATGTTTGCTAAATATTACCTATCGATGTGCCTTTACAAATTTTTTATTTCCTGTTATTTATTTTTTAGGATATTACTGACATTCTTTGTGCTCCAATTTGCCAGCTTGGATGCCGTTTTTATTTGAATTTTTCTCTAGGTTATTGCGACGTTGATTTTTAATAGTTTTGTTCTGATGTCTACTGCTTTAATCACATATTAGTTCTTGTTTTATTTTCATAGTTTCATTTTTAATTAATAAATCAAATTATCTTTCAAAAAAGTTGATTAATTTTTAATTTTTCTTCCAAATCATGCTTTATTTTAATAGCAATTTATCGCTTTTTAACTTTGAAGACACTTATTTGTATATTTTGATTAACTTTTAATTTTATTAGATTCCTTAAACATATTGTTATATTTCGGTAAGATTTTTAAATACCATGTAATAAAATGAATGTATTATGACTTATAGAATTAAAAAAAATAATTGACTACTCGTATTTGTCAAACTAAATATAATTTAAATCTTTTAATTGGATGCTTGTATTCACAAGTTTATGTACTTATTTATATAAATATTGATTATTCTAGAGTTTTCAAATTGATATATTAATAGATTTTATAAAAGATAGTGTAATTATTTCTGACATACTTGGAAGCGAGAGTCGCAAAAGATTTAATCTCAGTGTTGCCGAATCTCTTCTAAAAATGCTTTTCACGATCCATCCACTTTCTCCCCTCTCGTTCGTAATAAGCTAAATGCGAGCTTAATTTTCGTGATGTAAGTGGCACCTTTTGCAGATTTGACGCGTTGTGACGAAAAGTAAATATGACGGTGAGCCGTTTCGATGTATTTTAAGAAAATAGAGAATGTCATTTCCGGATCAGTCCGCGTCAAAACGGTGTAAAAATGTGCGAACGCATCCCCATCGCCGGTAAATCCGAGCTTCCACTTTTTCACTGGCAAATATTTAACATTCAGGTGCCACAAGTCATTCATATCACAGTAGCGAGCCGAGGTATAACAATAAATGCAGGAACAAAAAATGGATAAAATTCCCTCGGGAGTCGCATAACTCACGATTTACATATTAAAGTGTGTCAGCATCTACGACTCACGTCTTTCTCTTCATCTTTTTATTTTTTAGGGACGAAATGCCTCCGGTAAAGTCAATACGGTTCTTTTTTAAGCAAGCGAGAAATCGATCCGAATTTTTTGCCGTTTGCGTTCTATTACTTGATTTGAATAAAGCGGATTAAATAATGCGACAAGACAACTAAAAGAAAAAAATGAACAAAATACAGTCGGAAAAAAGCAAACGTGTACTAACTAAGAATAAAAAAAAGTAAAGGACGTTTTTTGTTTTTATATTTTTCGACATGTAATAGTCTGTTGCTATCTACTTATTCTTTTTATAATTGGCCGCATTTGTACTCGGTAACAGGCAGTTCTTGGAATGGGAAAAGCTCGGGTTTTACAAAACAAACGAGATGTCTTCTCTTTGAAGTGTACAGACGTCAGATAATATCGAAGCTTCTCTCCATGCATTTCCGTTTACTTGACTGAACCCTCGAGAGCAGGTTTTTCAACAACTTTGATTCGAAGTTCCTTCCAATAAGACTCCAACATATCCTAATTGCAGCTTTGTAACACCTTAAATACGAATATAATTGAGCTTGAAAAAGCACACTGTTGACATACGAAACAAATTTTTAAGATTTTTTAAGTTTTAAGCCCCAGTAATTTATCTATTGTATGAAGTGTAAGTGACGTGAGCCAAGCATAAAGCACTACAATTTTAATCTGAGCTTTATCACAAAGTCAACTCTAGTTTAGACAGACGCACTAAATTCCAAACGATGCAAAAATATTTTAACTAACAACGCTTACATCAAAGAAACAGTCAAACTGTATTTGCCACAACATTATCAGATTTCAAAGGTCACTTTGTTTCAGTGTAATTGAAAAAACGTAGTGAAAAACGTGGGTTACAAATTTAAAAAACAAATATCCAACGGTGGAGATAATTAGCTTGTTACGTGCTTTATAACCGGAAATCGCGGTCCACCACTTTTATTTCGGGCAACCCGGACTCAATTTTGTTAAAAGCAAGGTTACAAAGTGTGTTAATCAAAACAATTTGCTAACGAAAAAGCGCAGATGTGGTAATTAAATAGTTTTGGTTTGGTATTTACAAAAAGAGATGGATTATCTCGGAACATCTCTAACTCAGCCATAATCCCAGCATTTCATCAACGACTATGATGTACTTATAACTTTGTTACTAAAGGGTTATCTT